TGGTGCATGCCTGTAGTCCCAGCTACTTAGGAGGCTGAGGCAGTAGGATCACTTGAGCCAGGAGACTGAGGTTGCTGTGAGCTAGGCTGACACCACGGCACTCACTCTAGCCTGGGCAACAAAGTGAGACTCTGTATCAAAAAAAAAAAAAAAAAAAAAAGCTTGTAGTTGATTGGATGCTTTTTGAGCCCTACCAAGGGTATAAAAGCAGAGGAGAACAAGGAAGCGGGTTCAGAAGATCAGAAGCCACCAGGAAGAGCTGTAACACTTGCTGTGCTGAGCCTGCTAGAGGAATAAAGACAGTTCTCCAATTCTTCACGTGCTGTTCGGTTTTCTCCCCAGTCAAGAGCTGCAACACCAGCTGTATACTTGCCACAACATTAACACACTACAATGTGAATGATCCCCCTAGAAGTTGTGCAAGGCAGGGGCCCTGACGTGAACATTCTGACTCTCTAGCAGAGTTGTAGTGAGGTAGAAAAGTGAACTGGTACAGGTGGTCCCAGTAATGGAGAGCATCTGTGGTGAGGAGTGGGCATGGAGAAGGTTGGTAAATGCTGGGATTCCCAGCACATCTTCCCAACACAGCCAGAGCTGCGTGGGATCATGGTGAGGTTGCTGAGGAAGGCCATGCTGAGCAATGAAGGTGAAATCAGGGTGGTTTGTCTTTCCTTTCAAAGTATAAATGTTGGATGTAATAGACAAAAAATATATTCCTATGGAGCTGAATGAAGAGCAATACCACACTAGAAGATGTTCAAAAAATGTGCCTTTTGTCCAATGCAAATCCTCTTTACAAAGTAGTATCTTGTTAATTATGGCCATGAGAAAAAATTCTCTGAAATTCATTGAAGAAACAATGCCCTCGCAAAAAAAAAAAAAAAAAAACCAAAAACAAAAAACACCAAACTTAAAGGCAGCAGGGGATGAAGAAAATAAGGATCATTTTACCCATGAAGAAACAAGGCCTACAGAGAATGGATAAATAGAAGGTATTCATTCAACTGCCTGAGCCGAAAGGTAGTCAGCAGAGGCTAGCCACACATCCATGTGAGGAAAAAGACATCAGTGACTCAGGGCAGCCTGGAACACATCTACAAGAGCCATCACGTCTTAGAACCACGGACCATATCATTCTTTCAGCCAGAGACTGTGAGGCAGTACATGGAGCTGCCCGTTTACACAGTGCAAACCCTGGGATATGCACACTTCATAATGTGTCACAGGCTACCAGAGCCAAGGTTTAATGAAAGGACATTACAAAAACTACAATTTTCTATTCTCTGTTATTTGAGAAAGGCTATTACACTACTGATGTAAAGAAAATAATGAAACAAATATACATGATGACAAAATTGATATATGGAGTATCACTGTGTCATAAACAGGCAGTTCATTGTGATAATTTATTATGAGAAATCAAGATTCTAATGAATCTAGAAAAGGATAAGAATTGCAAATTAAACTCTATTGTCAATTGTTTTTTCTGTATCATTAAGACATATTTTCTCTACTGCTTTGGAATCTGGTAACGTAGGTATTGAGACAGTCTTGCTTACAAAGAGCTTTCATTTAAAAGTCTAAATTGTTAACAAACTGCCACATTGCAGAGATTATTCTTGAAATATTGTGAATAAAAAAGTGAATGAATGACAAAAAACCTCACTGGGTTATAATAACAAGGATTTATTCTCATGGTTACAGGTCTAAAGGGTGACTGTGTATTGGCTGATCAGGGCTGGGCTCAGCTGGGGTGCTCGGCTGCAGGCTACTGGGCTGAGTGTTCACTCAGGGGCCCAGGCTAAAGTGGGCATTAAATATCCAGGGCATATCCTCCCCATAGCACATGACCACAGTCCCAGAAGGCAGGTCTAACCATACAAGTGCTTTTTAAGCCTTTGACTTAGATCATATCCACTAATTGACCAATTAAAGTCACATGACTAAGCTCAAAGTCAAGAAAAGGAAAGTACATTCTGGCCACCATGAGGCCACGCAAGTGTGTAGATATACAATTCTATTACAGGAAGTGACAAATTGGGACAAGATGGAATCTCCCACATTTCTCTTATTTTTCTTCAAGTTCTATATTTCTCTTTCTTTAATCATATCCCATAGGACATGGCTTCTAGATCTTTCACCATACTGATATTTTTCCTATATAAATTTTAGTTCTTCAGCATTCCTGTTAAATCACGATGCTCAGAACTGAACACAGTATTCCACATGTGGTCTGACCTGTATTGATTTCACCTAGTGAAATGTTTGGGGGCTAAAACCTTATCTAGATAATTGCACTGCCCAGAAAATATAATATCCACATAAGGGAGGTTAATTCAGAATAATGAACCCAGGTTCTACATAATATTAGAGAAGTTACCATCTCTAAATTCTGTTTTCTCATCTCAAGAACCAAATTCTCTACCTTAATAATATTCTTAGGCCATCTTAGAGTTTATAAAGCACTAAATATATAATCTCTAAATTAATTTCATTTAATTCTTAAGAACTCTGAGCTAGGCATTATTTTTGCCCTCCCTGAAAGATCAGGAAATTGAGGGTTAGATGGAAGTAGAATATTTCTTTTGCCTAGTGAACAATGTCTCTCTTACCTCCTGGCCTTCAGGGAAAAAAAGAATTAACTTATTCATGCACATTACTTATAGTTATGCTTGTCTGTAACAAAGAAACTTATGTATACACAGGCATTATATAATATTTATCTTACTAACACAACTAACATAATACACTATAGGTTGAGTATCCCTTATCTGAAATGCTTGGAACCAAAAGTGTTTTGAATTTTGGACTTTTTAGAATTTTGGAATATTTGCACATATATGATGAACTATTTTGGGGATGGGACCCATGCCCAAACATGAAATTAATTTATGTTTCATATTCACCTGGTACAAATAGCCTGAAGGTAAATTTTATACAATACTTTTAATAGTTTTGTTCATGAAACAAAGTTTTGACTGCATTTTGACTGCAACCCATCATTACACTGGTGCCCAAAGTTTTAGATTTTGGAGGATTTTGGATTAGGAATGCTCAACCTGTAATTAGTGTCCCTGCATTCCTTATTTATTCTTATTACTATTTAGGCATTTGTAATGAATATGCTAAACATATTAAGTTACAGATTTAACTGAAAAAAAGTGAGCTCATGTCAAGATAAATCATAATAACAGCAGTTAACAAACAATATATAACATAACATAAATACAACACATATAAATTTGGAGGCATTATTTTAAAATGTAATAAAAATTAATTTCTTAAATTTATAACTCAAAGCTACACTTCAAAGAATGATGTTATAACAATTAAGAAACTTGCACATGATAAAATAATAACTGTTCTTTCATTTTTTATGTACACATTCACAGCATTGCCAGTCTGCCATCCTAACTTGGCCAAAGACACTAAGCTATCTTATTGAATGCCGAATTTTTCCTTGAATTCATAGAAATTACAAATATAATCCACAAATCTCTTACTTTCTTCCAAAAGAATCATTTTAAGCATCTTATGAAAACAGACTAGGTCACTGAAGGGAATTAGCACCATCTAGTGAAAAAATCTGGCAAAACTTGAGGATCAAAGAAAACTGCTTCTGTGGCAGTATAAGAGAACTGCATAAGAAAATATAGAAAACTGAAGCAATAACACCCCCTTATGATTATGTTTTATTAATTTATATTGAACTCTAACAGACTTTAACTATGAATATTACATTTGTTTTTAAAACCTAATAGTATAATCAATCATTAACAATTTGTCAGAAATATTCTAATTATGAAATGTTTAAAACAAAGATAATTTGCATGGATAATTTGTTGGCGGGGGATCATTAAATAAGTCTGATCCATTAACACACTTTCCTGTCCTCTAACTTGCAGCCAGATTTAAAGGGCCTTGACTTTGTCCTGTAGACCTTGGAAAGTCAAAACATTTTTGAAACAGGGAAGATTAGTTTGGTGGCTGCATACAGGATGGATTTGCGTGGAAAGTGTGTCAAAGAAAGACTAACCGGTTGGGGACTGATGGTGGTAATCTAGACTGCAGATGTCAAGGCCTGAATGAAATGGAAACAAAGGGTGTACTGAGAAGGGTGAATGAGTGTCCACTGTGCTTGGGATCAGTACAACATGCAGGATGTGTCTAAACTACTGCAATAATTTTTTAAAAAACTGATCATACTTCTTTATATCTTTTCCATTATTACCTTAAACTGTTATTGAAATTCCTACTTTTTAAATCGTATTCCTCCTACTAAAGGGTAAGCTCCTTGAAGATCTTTAGCATGGATTTTAAATAAATAATCATGTAATTAAAAGAATATGCTTGTGGGATCACTTATTTCAATGGCATAACTGTTGTGGAAATGACTAAAAATAGTGGGTGTTTTCTCCCTATTATTTAAAGAATCTTCTTGTGGAATTTAGAAATTTTGTGTTAATTATGTATGTTACAAACTCTCAAATTTGTGATCATTGCATCACAATTTTTTTGCTGGTAGATGAAAAGGCAATTTGAAATGAGTTGGTCCTTTCAGCTGAATCTTTGGATAAAAAGATTAACTCATCTATTATCCCATTTTTCCTCTTAATTTCAAGATTAAATTATACTGCCTATACCCAAAAGGTGCCACAACAACAGGGCTTATACTGAAGATAAATATGAGATCATAAAAACCAAAAAGAGCATACATACAGCCTTTAAAAATTTACTTCTGACATTTCAACTATACAGCAACACTGTTAGTATTGCAAAATGAAATTTAATGTAAGCTAAATTCTACTCTAAATTTCTAAAACATTCTAGCCAAAATTTTTATTTTCCTAAGTGTTTTTGCTGTGTAGTGCCTAACAATATTTTGCCTTTAAAAGGCATAACATAAATTTCTATTCACTGGAATTCCTAAGCCAGTAAATTTCAATAAGAATGATCATTTAGACCAGAAGCCTGAACAATCACAGCCATGAGACACATACCTGAATTAAGGAAGAACTGAGGAGAATCTCCATGAATGCCCACTGTACCTGGCCCCAGGGAGTCAGACAGGGTATTCACAAAGGAAAATACTCCACTCATGATTCCAAAGCCCAAGCCAGAAACTAAAGAGAAAGAAAACATTGTTAAACCCTTTTCCTGCTACGATTTCTCTGCAAATCAAATTTCTGAGGACTAGGTATGAATAAGACTATTCTGTTGGCGGGGAAAGGGTGCATATGCTGTTGTTGAAGAGCAGCTGACTCTGGAAAGGCACGTGCTCGGCTGCGTGATGAGTGGAGGGAGAAGGGGAAGAGCAAAGGCAATGAACAGTAGAATGCAGCAGAGAAATAAAAAAAGGAGAGAAAAAGCAGATTGGGAAAGGCACAGAAGAAACAGGTGCAACAGAGGAGGACACAATGCTAAAGCTCTGGCTTTAGTTTGTAACAGAGTTTACAGAGTTGTTTGGCTTAGAACTGGAATTGAGCTTAAGGGGGACTATGTATTCCTGGGCCAAACTGGGGGACTGGCTCCAATCTATAAACATAATTCTGAAAGAATAATATGCAATGGTATTAACTGCATTAATATGAAGAATCCTTTTAGAATAGCCAAAGTCATGCTAAATATCCAAAGTAACAATTACATTACTTAGAAAATCTTAGTTAACTAGAGTATGTACATGTTAAAAATGTAACTTTCAAATCCGGTTAATATTTAATGAACATACAGATAAGGGTCACCTGCAATCACTTTCCTTTACATAAAGAACCCAGAAAACTGGAAAAATAAATAATGTACACCAATAGGCCAAAGCAGTAATAAAATATATTTGAAATTTAAAATGATACAAAAGATAAAAATGACTTTAATGTCAAATCTGATTTTTTTTATGACACCACATAGTTCTAACTTACCATAGGCCAGTAATTGCATAGAGGGTGCTGTATCACTTGGGTTTACACTCTTCAAACCCTCACTGGCTTTTCTAAAATAAGAACACACATATAATTAAAAAAAGAAAAGAAAAGCAGTATATCAGGAAAAGACACAAGATACTTCAAATCCAGATATCTGAGGCTTTGGATCAGGTTATATTCTATTCTAAATTTAGAATTCATTTAAACAAAACCCAACAAAAATTTTTAATGAACTAAAATCAACCAAAATTTCCAATTAACTTTTGTCTTTTATCTGACTTTCACATAAAAGAAAAAAATATAAATAAGCCATCATGAATTGGGTTTAATGAGAAAAAAGCAATACTTCTGAGTACTTTCTGAGCTCAATAAACATTTAATTTGATAACCTATGAGAACTATCACTCTGAATTGCTTTTCTCTTCCCAAAGTACTATATTTTCATTCCCACTTTGTTGTACCTTCCATCACGGCTATACTTATCTTGCCACTCTCCCTTGCACCTCCACTCCACAGAACCTAAATTGGACTCATCCTTCAAAATCCAGTTCAGGCAGCTATTTGTTAAAGAAGCTGCCTCTACCAAAGGTTGGTAATCACTGGCCTCTCCTTAATCTTAAATCCTACAATACTGATGGTCTAAACTCTCATATGGGCACTCAATCATATAATCTTTCAATTCTAAAATATTTTACATATTTGTTTTACTTTCCCAATTAGGGTTCAGGGATAAAATGCTACCCTCATACAAGGAGATAAATGAATACTTGAATGAAAGGACAGAATATTGCTCAATAAGAAATGATCTTCAGAGTGACGCTTCTGATATGGCCAGTTCACAAGCTGACCATGAGCCCCCACCCCCTAGGCAGATGTGATAGGAACGCTAGGTGTGGCTGTGCAGTTCCACTACTGTCACTTTTTTTTTTTTTTTTTTTGAGACAAGGTTTCACTCTATTGCCCAGGCTAGAGTGCCGTGGCATCAGCCTAGCTCACAGCAACCTCAAACTCCTGGGCTTAAGCAATCCTCCTGCCTCAGCCTCCCAAGGAGCTGGGACTACAGGCATGCACCACCATGCCTGGATAATTTTTTCTATATACTTTTAGCTGGCCAATTAATTTCTTTCTATTTTTAGTAGAGACAGGGTCTCACTCTTGCTCAGGCTGGTTTCAAACTCCTGACCTTGAGCAATCTGCCCACCTCGGCCTCCCAGAGTGCTAGGATTACAGGCACGAGCCACCGTGCCCGGCCTAGTACTGTTTTTATTTATACACGCGTGCACACATACACACACATCCATCTCTTACTAATCAAATAACATTCTCCATGATTAAAAATATATATTTTGAAACCATTTCATATTACACAGTGGTAAGAAAAGTATAGTATTGTTCCTTACTATTAATACTAACAAGATCGGAAAGGAGATGTCCCAAAGCAATTCAAATGACTGCAAGAGTTTAAATAGTATTTATCATTTCATATTTATAAGAATGTTTCTGAAGCATGTTTATGAGCTCAATGGACTCCCAAGGATATGATTTTATGTTTAAAGTCTTCCTAGCAAATGCTAAAGAATGATGGAAGACTATCCTCACTTTGGCTCATCACCATGGAGAGGGAGCCTTGGGAGGCCCGTTAGCAGCTGTCTGAGCCAGTCCCCTACAGAATGAAAAGAATCAATCCCACAGGGTCCACTTCAAATACTTCCAGTTTAGGAGCTTACTTCATCAAACGGCCATTGTGAGAGAGTCCCTTCTCAAACAGAACCCAAATCTGCCTTCCTTTAACTCAGTGATCCTCAACTGGGGTGATTTTGCCTATAAGAGGGTATTTGTCAATGTCCATAGACATTTTTGGTTACCACAACTCGGTGGGGAGCAGGGTATGCTTCTGAAATCTAATGGATAGAAGCCAGGGATGCTGTTAAACACCCTACAATACAAAAGACAGCTCCTCAACAAAGAATCATGTGGTCCCAAATGTCAATAGTGCTGAAGCTGAGAAACCCTGCTCTAACTCCTGCTTGTTGATCCTAGGAAGTCTCTTTGAAGAAACACAACTCTTTTTTTCAATATGTGACATATTAAAAAATATTTGAAGCCGGGCGAGGTGGCTCACGCCTGTAATCCTAGCACTCTGGGAGGCTGAGGCGGGTGGATTGCTCGAGGTCAGGAGTTCGAAACCAGCCTGAGCAAGAGC